CTCCACCCACAGGTGAGTTCAGTGCCAGTGCTGACCACCTGTTCCTCAGCGTGCAGTTCGCCCAGCTCATGTACGGAGACGGCAGCGCCGAGTTTGCCCACGAGCTGCAGAAACTGGCCGAGGTTCTGTTCAACGCCGAGCGCTTCGTGGAGTGTCTGGAGGTGTCCACCCAGGCCGTGGGTCTGTTTGAAGGTCTGTACAGCCAGGGGCACGAGGCGGTCAGGCAGACCAGGGAGCTCGCGATGGCCGCACAGATGGCACTTATGCCCGTCATGGAAGCGACCTGATGTTGTTTTGTTGAGGCTGTTGTTTTTATCATTGTTTTTGAGATTGATGAGGAGGTTGCTGTTATTGTTGTTGTTTTTGAGGTTAATGAGCTAGCAGTACACATGAACCTTCACCTTTCTGTCTAATAATATCAAGAAGTAATCATTGTCATAAAGTCTGAGTGCCAAATCTGAAACAGATATTGGCGGTTATGGATCTCCATTCATTTCTCTTCTCGGATGTTCTCAAAAACGTGGTGTTTGGCTGTCACTGTCACCCATTTGTTCGGGTTTTCCAAATAAGTTTCTCTGGATCTCAGCGTGCCTCATTCGCCTTCTCTTTTTTAATTTTATTTTCCTGTGAGAAATAGAGTCTTTGTGAAAGTTTTCTTTATCTGCTGCGTGTTCCTTGTAAAATGTGCTCTCAGTGTCTGGTCTGGAGTAGAAAAGAAACCTCTGATATCATGAAATACAGCGGAGCGGAGTTCGCTTGAACCAAAATCTGCAGACTACCTGATTTTCTTCAGTTTATCTGGGTTTTTGGTTGAGAGAGGTTGCTCAAATAGGGCAAGAAAAAGTGGAGTATCTGGAGGTGTCCACCCAGGCCGTGGGTCTGTTTGAAGGTCTGTAGAGCCAGGGGCACGAGGCGGTCAGGGAGCTCACGATGGCACTTATGCCCGTTATGGAAGCCAGCTGAGGTTGTTGTTGTTGTTGCTGTAGTTGTTGTTGCTGATGTGTTTGGTATTGAGGTTGATCAGCCAGAAGTGCACTTGACATAAGCTTCCGCTTTTCTAAGACCTTCAAGTTGAATGTGGAAGTTTTCTTAATCTGCTGTTGTCATCCCTGTAGAATGTGCTCTCACACTCTCAGTTGGATCCGGGGGGGGAGGGGTGGGGGAAACTTTCTGTTTTAAGTGGTGGAAGTGAAAAAGATGTTTGTTTTTTGCATGTCATTTCATTTACTTTTTTTCCCATAACTAGTTGATATCTCTGATTGTTACTTCTTTTTTACATTTTGTTTGAAAAATATTAATAATACTGTTCTGGAAAGGATTCTGTAAAGTTTTGGGAAACTCAATTTTACTTCCTGATTTTTAACCATGCTCTTGAAAAAGTTGAAGTTGTCCAATATGCAATTCTTAAGTTTTCACTTACGGTATTTAGAAGAATAAAATATGCCTATGTGGTAAAAGACACTGATTTAGAATTTTGAGGTGGAGAAAGGAAAACCAGTAATAGTTATCTACATCTACAGTCTAGCGTGCACGTAATGAAACAAACACAGCGAACTTATTTTCTGTCCCGATTTTTTTTCTTACATGTGTATTTCTTTATGTTTTAAGACTGAGACACGTACATAGCAAAATAAGATTTCCATGTCCCACCAATTTCACAATATATAGCCTACATCCTAGACTGTACTGTACTTCTCCGAATTTCAATTTGAATTGGTCGCTTTTAAGGACTAGCGGGCTAACCCAGATTTCGGGGGTTTCCAGATATCTTGACCTACACCAAAAGTGGACATTGCCCTACCTATAGGAGAAGTTTGGTTTCATTTGTGTGTATATATTTGTTTGGTTATAGAGAAAACTCTCCATAAGACAGTGAACAAGGGACAAAAACTTTACCTTCGATTCTCTCAAAACAGCATTTTTCTGTATAGATCTAGCCCCCTTGTGCTTAAAAGCGACCAGATATTCAGTGAGGTAGGAAGTTCAGCCGAAGGTCTGAAATAGGCCTACTTGCAGGGGGGTCATTTTACTTTTACTGTTTCGTTTCCACTCACTTAAGGTTTAGTCGTTTGTTTATTAATTTGGACATGCTTCAAAATAATCATTTGTTTATAATGTGTTTGTGTTCCTGTTACAAATGTACTACTAATCTTGGAGGGTTTTATTTACCCTTCATGTCTGTTGGAGCAGTTATTTTATTTTATAGGCAGCGAAAGATCTTGTCAGAGAGAATGTTAGAGCTCGAGAGCTTATTCAGCTGATAGCACTGTATGCTTCTCGGGAAACTGAGAGTGTATTTGAGTGTTCCAGGGTCTGCTGGGATGATAATAATACGTGTAGTTGTATAGCGCATTGAGCATGCTTTAGACTAGAGCATGAATGTGTGCTGCATAAGTGCAATTATCATCATTATTCTTTTTCTTTTTTTATCATTGTTTCAACACCAGTGCATGTTCAATGAAACATGCTATAACTATAATGAGCATTTTTTAAAATAAAACAATTTGAAATATTTCTTTTTGTTTGGAGAACTTTTATTATTGCTCTTTATTAAAATCAATCATGCAACATGAAGAAAAAGAAAATACAACATTTTTCAGGTAGCTCAATGCAGTTATTGGGCAGTTTGATTTTGTGAATTGACATTGCTCCAACTACATTTCACCTCAAACTGATTAAAAGGAGAGCAATATGGTAACTATGGTAACAGTGATCTACTACACAAACAAAAAAAGCAGGTCGCACCAAAGACCTGCCAAATACCCTCACTCTGGAGAGCATAGACATGGCCATATTATACATTGTATTTCTAAAGTTTTTCTTGAGTGAAAAATGTACAGGGAAAATGCCCACATCATTCTACCTTTGTTTGGTATCAATTTCTTTACAGTCAACAAATACTTGTATATAATAATGATCGAAATTGGACAATCTGAACAGAAGACAGACTGTAAAAACATTATTTTCAATTTGCGATAGATAATAAATGATATTCTTTCTTGCTAGGTTTTTCAGTTCAGTTTAAGTAAAGAAAAGCACGTCAGCACAATAATGGTCATATCATAATTCATATAGTGCAAGGAAGAAATATGGCAAATCTGTAGACAGGAACAACTAAGAGAAAGAAAAGAAGTACATGTACAAAGAAGTTCTCCAAACACCCAGTTTTCAATTCAGATGGCAGTTCTAAGGCACAATCCAGTATCAGTTCAGTGTAAGTTAACATAACCGAAGGTGAAACTTTTGATCCTGGGAAGAAGAAGAAGTTATCGTCAAAATTAAATATGTAGTGTTTTTTACGTCCCCCTCGACACAGTTTAGATGATTTAGGTGGCAGGCTTCCGACCATGCCTGTCAAGACTTACCCGTGCTCAGATGGATATAATATCCATACCAGCAGAAAGACCAAGATAATCTTAAGATTCTCCCCACTCAGGAATCGAACTTGTGTCTCTTGCATGTAACAGCGAAGCACTTAATCGCTACACCACAGAAGCCAGTGAGCTGTTATCTGTGAGAAATGGATGAGGAGACTGGGCACAATGATGTAGAGGGCTAAAATCTGTGTCTTGGCTTGTGCTATAGACTACGAGGACACAGTGAGCTCACGCCCCACTACCCAGTATAGTGTTCTGTGATTGGGGAGAAATGATGAGACCCAAGATGTTCTTAAGTCATAGTTGAAAGGACATCATGCTTGGACGCTGTCTTTCCTGACATGTTAGATCTAAGCTCAAACACAGTATGCTCAGACACAGTTGTGTTAAAGAGTCAGAACACGCCCTTCTTCCCAGTGTAATGAATTCAGTGATTTGGGAGAAATGATGAGAGCCCAGATGTTGTTTATTGGTAACTGAAATGAAAGGATATCATGCTTGGACTCTGTATTTTCTTACATGTTAAATTTAAACTCAAACTCAAACACAGCACGCTCAGACGCAGTGTGTTAAGACTCATAAAAGTTACTTACAATGTAGACAAAATGTGCTCCAAGGTAGTCATCTTGACAAATTGTGCTCCGAATTAGTTCAGATTGTCTGTCTTGACAAATTGTGCTCAGAGATAGAATTTAGTCTATCTAGACAAATTGTACTCAGATGTAGTTTGTTTAGACAAACGTGCTCTGAGATAGTTTATCTTACTCCAAGATAGTTTGTCTCTAGACAAATTGTCCTTGGGTATTGTCTGTCTTAGACAAATTGTTCTCCGAAATACAGTAGTTTATCTAGACAAATTGTGCTCTGAGATAGTTATTAAGACAAAATGTGCTCCACAAAATGTGCTCCAAGATAGTTTGTCCAGTGTGATCCAAGTTAGTCTGCCCAGACAAACTGTGTTCCGAGATAATACGTTTTATGCTCAGAATAATAATTGTGCTTATGAATATTGCATTGAGTCATTGAGGCACATAATAATCGAAGCCACTATTTTGAGGCACAGCATGCTGCCCAAAGCCATCGTATTCCGACAGATTATTCTGCTCAGACTCATAATTATTATATCCAGAAACTGCAGAACTCCGGGAGTGGCCGGGGCCGATCTGCCCTTGGTACAGCGATGGCGACAGCTGCTGCGGAGCCCCCACTTCCACTGGTGGGGTGGCTTGAGAGCTGCTGCTGCTCGCCAGGAGGAGAGAACTCTGGGGGCACCCGGGGTGTGGCAGGGAAGGGGCTGCTGGGTACACTGACCCGCTGGTGGCGGGAGTGACGCTAGACATCCGGCATGGCGGCGCTGCTGTCGCTACATTTACATAATATTCTGCTACCGTGACATTGACAGCCTCAGCCATGTTGTTAGAGCGTGGGTGTTGGTGCGAATAAAGATCCACTTTTGGGGATAGAGCTACCCGAGAATCAGCAGCAGGGATATTCGCAGGGAACTGCCAGCTGAGCTCAGAAGTAGTGGAAACATAGGCTGGCTGTTGTTGGAATGCTTGGTGTGTAGATTGGTGCGGGTTAGAAGAAGTAGCCTGAGAGTTAAATTCTAAAACTCTAGGTTGGTATGTAGATCGGCGCGGATTGGGAGAAGTAACAAGAGAGTTGAATTCTGAAACTGAAAGTTGGTGCATAGAAGAATGGTGCGGATTGGGACATACAACAAGAGATTCAGATTCGAAAACTGAAGGCGTGATCCGTCGTTGGAGAGACATGAGAGAAAATAACCGTTTCGGTTCCGTCACTTCCGGTTCTTTACTGCCGTCTTCAACGATGACCTTGAATTTGTTGTCTTCCGTAGACAGTGTTTCAGTTTGAGACAAGATGGCACCGGTTGTGTTTTGGCAGTAATTGACCAAATCTGGCGTCAGGTTGGATTGTAAATTCTTAACAAGTATGTCTCTATTTTCAGGCCAACCTGGTCTTTGACAGACATCATAAATCACATCATCCCTGCACCTTTCAATGCCCTTACCACTACACTCCCCACCACTCATAATTAACTTACACTCGACCTTCAGGTCTGAGCATGCGGCAAGAGTCGCGTCCTTCACCTTACCACAGCGATAGCTTCCTCCACCAAGGTCGCTCTGACTCGTCACAGGCTGGACGCAATGATTACTCCCTAGCTTCTCCCCGCCTTCATTACAGACAGCTTTAATGACGCAATACTCATTACTCCCTAGCTTCTCCTCGCCTTCATTACAGACAGCTTTAATGACGCAATACTCATTACTCCCTAGCTTCTCCTCGCCTTCATTACAGACAGCTTTAATGACGCAATAATCATTACTCCCTAGCTTCTCCCCGCCTTCATTACAGACAGCTTTAATGACGCAATAATCATTGCTCCTTAGTTTCTCCCCTGTTTCATTGCAGACACAATGATTGTTCCCTAGCTTTTCCCCATCTTCATTACAAACAGCTTTACAGACACAATAATTACTCCCTAGCTTCTCTCCGCCTTCATCACCGGCGGATTTCTCCGTCTTTTTCTGTCTCTTGGGCCTTCTTTTGATCACTTGTGGGCTGGAATTTTGCTTTCTGTCAACTCGTCCCTCTCGAACCGTCAGGCTGCCTGATGAACCTCCCTGTGGTGAGCTTCTTGTAAGTTTATCTTTCGACATCCTCAAGCGCCTTCTTGCGTTGGAAAACCATGTCTTCACCTAAGAAGGAACATGAAAATCAGGTAAACGAACACTGAAGGCATGAAAGCAGTAAGCTTGCCCCTTTTCCTCTCCTTTTTGCAGCCACTCCCTTCACACCCCTCCCCAATACATCTCCCTTCTCACCCCCTCCCTTTTTTTTTCTTTTTTCACCGCCCCCCCCCCCAAAAAAAAACAAAACAAAACAACAAACAAAAACAACAATAACATCAAACAAACAAACAAACAGCCTCTCTATATCATTTTGGGAAAACGAACTGGAGCTTTAGTTCTGTAGACGTAATATACCATAAAACGTGTGCTGTTCCCTTTTTGGGCCGCTATGGGAGATTAGGATAAATCGAAATAAAAGAAACGACGTCTTACTATTACATGTCCTACTAAATGTCATAGGTAGGCTTATTATTATTAAAGCACAGTTACATATGTTTAAAAAAAGAATAGATAAATAAATAAATGTCAATTTTTCCAAATACCGGTAGATAATATGTAGGCCCTTGTAGATATATATATCATCTATAATGTTTCAGATTTACACTCGTGATAGTATAAGCAGTAAAACGTTTCTTGCTGTTGCTGTTGTCGATGTCGTTTGTTTTGTTTTTTTGTTGGGTTTTTTTTAGGGGGGGGGGTGACACTGACAAAACCAACCTGTGTGGCAGACATATTGGAGGCGGCC